ATATTTACTTCTGTTTCTAATTATGGCCTACTAGGCAAATAGACCACTCCTCCCATTAGGAAAAGTTAGAATTATTAGACGAAACATAATATACATCTGCCTAAAGACACTAGAGAGATAACAAAATAGCAAAAAATGAACAGGCAAGGATCAAAAGAAGAGGAATCCAAGGAAAACGAGCCTAGCATTTAGGTATGCTGTTTCCTCTGGGGATTTATGCTGATTAAGGAGGGTATGGCTGAGAGGCCCAGAAGCTGAGCCATACTTGCTAATCTAGAAAGGACCAAAGCCATGGAGATTGACGTTCAGGGATCACTAAAGTAGGTGAAACACTCTTGCTTTGGTTTGGAACCTTTAAAGGTTACCATTGTAGAATAAGGAGGAAACTGTTGTGGGCTCTTTCAGTGACTGTAACTCCTTTTTCATTCATCTCAATCCCATAAATTAGATTGAGGTAATCCTAGGATACTGGTAATCCCAGAGTGCTGATGCTGAGGTTCTAGACAGAAGCAAACAAATTATCCGTGGGAGGAGAAAACATTATCCTAAACCTTAAATTATTTCTACAAATAATTTTATAAATATGAAATTAGGCATACAATAAAAAAAATAAACAGATACACAGGAAATACCTACAGAAACACTAGACATGAGAAGCAGACACAGGGGCTCCAGATATTGGCATTATCAGACATAGCCTTTAAAATAATTATACTTAACTATAATCAGGGAGATAAAAGGCAAGGTCGAGAATATTGGCAGATAACTTGATTTTTTTTTTAAGAACCAAATGAAAATTCTAGAAATGAAATACAATGAATGGGTTTAACAGCAGATCAGACATAACTAAAGAGAGAAATAATGACCTGGAATGAGTCACTAGAAACTATTCAAAATGAGATAGGTAAGACAAAAAGATAAAATACAGGAAAGGGTAAGAGACACAGTAGATACAGTGAAAAAGGCTATTATAGATTTAATTTTATTGGAGCCTCAGAAGGAGAATAGAAAGAGGATGAGAAGAAATAATATTTAAAGAGTTAATGCTAAAATGAGGAAAGATATCAATTTATAGGTTTAAGAATCCCAACAAATACCGATGAATATTAAAAAAAAAAAAAAAGAAATCTACATGTAGACACATCAATAGTAAAACTTCAAAAGCCAAAACCAAAGGGAAAAATCTTAAAAGCAACCAAAGAGGGGGACAAAACTTCCCTTCAAAAGAGTCATTGTTGACTTCTCAACAGCATCAATGAAAGCCAGAAAACAATGGAATGGTAACCTCAATGTGTTAAGAGAAAATAACTTAACCTAGAATTCTATACTTAGCAAAAAATATCTTTCTAAAATAAAGGTGAAATATGCCGGGTGTGGTGGCTCACATCTGTAATCCTAGCCCTCTTGGAGGCCAAGGCGGGAGGATCGCTTGAGGTCAGCAATCCTCGGTGAGACCAGCCTCAGTAAGAGTGAGACCCTGTCTCTACTAAAAATAGAAAGAAATTAGCCAGACAACTAAAAATAGAAAAAATTAGCTGGGCGTGGTGGCACACGCATATAGTCCCAGCTTCTCAGGAGGCTGAGGCAGGAGGATCGCTTGAGCCCAGGAATTTGAGGTTGCTGTGAGCTAGGCTGACATCGCAGCACTCTAGCCCGGGCAACAGAGTGAGACTCTGTCTCAGAAAAACTTAATTAATTAATTAATTAAAGGTGAAATAAAGACATTTTCAGACAAAAAGAGAATTTGTCACCATCAGATCTGTACTAAGGGAACTACTAAAAGGTATTCTTTGGGCAGAGGAAAGATAATCATAGTTGGAAAGTCAGAAAAGCAGGAAGAAATGAAGAGCAATGAAAGTGGTAAATCTGTGAGTGGGTCTAAATATTAGATATATAAAGCAATTATAATAAACTCTTACGGAATTTAAAATACATAGAGAATTAAAATGCAATGATAATGACATCTAAGTCTGGGGTAGGTAAAAGACTTAGTGTTCTAATGTCCCTTCATTGTGTGGGAATAAGGTAAAAGTACCTTTTCTATTCACCTTTGAACAGGAGGCCCTCACTAGTGCAGAAGGCAAGAAAAAGATAAAGATGTAAAGACTGGAAAGAAATAAAACTGACATCTGTAGATTTTGTACATAAAAAATACAGGAGAAATGTACATATGATTGATTAGTGAGTTTCATAAGATTACTGCATACAAGGTCAATGTATGTAAACCAATTGCATATCTATATGCAAGCAAGAAACTGTTGGAAAAAAAAATTTTTAAAAGATACAACTTGAAATTACTTTTTAAAATACCTAAAACTAAATTATGTAAAAGATGTATGAGACCTCTATGCAAAAAAATATCAGTTGTACCCAATCTGATCTATTAGATTCAGTCTAAAATTCCAACAGATTTGGGGATTGGGGAAGAGATTGAATAAGCTGCTTCTAAAATTTGTTCAGAAATGTAAAGGACTAAGAAAAGCTAGTAAACCCTTGAAGACAGACTAGGTAAGAGGATTTGCTCTATCAGATATGAAGACTACACTTTAATAAATATGACAGTGGTACAAAGACAGACCAATAGAAGAGTATAGAAACAGACCCAGTGTAAATAAACTTTCGATTATAAAGAGATGGCACTGCAAAGAAAGGAGAGTCTTTTTAAATAAATGGTAGTAGAACAATTGACTGTCTCTATTAAAAAATGAAACATGGGCTAGGCGCAGTAGCTCATGCCTATAATCCTAGCACTTTGGAAGATGGGAAGATTGCATAAGCCTAGGAGTTTGATACCAGCCTGGGCAATGTAGCAAGACCTCATCTCTACAAAAAAATTTTTAAAACTTAGCCAGGCATGGTGGCATGCACCTGTAGGCCTAGCTTTGGGAGGCTAAGGGAGGAGGATCACTTAAGCCCAGGTGTTCAAGGCTGCAGTGAACTATGATCATGCCACTGCACTCCAGTCTGGGCAACAGAATGAGACCCTGTTTAAAAAAGAAAAGAAACAACCCCATTTTTACACTATAAACAAAAATTAATTCTAGATGGATTATAGATCTAAATATGAAAGATAACATAATGAAGCTCCTGGAAGATAATATAAGAGAATATCTTAATGACTGTGGAATAGAGAATGACTTCTTACAGAGAATGAAAAGTGCTAACCATAAGGTATAAGAATGATAAATTAAGCCAGGCACAGTGGTGCATACCTGTAGTCCCAGCTACTTGGGAGGTGGAGGTTAAGGCAGGCGCATCGCTTGAGCCCAGGAGTTCGAGGCCAGCTTGGGCAATATAGTGAGACCCTGTCTCAAAAAGAAAAAAGATAAATTAAACTACATTAAAATTAACTTCTGTTTATTAGAGGGGCACCATGAAGAGGGTGAATAGGCTGGAAGGAGATATTTGCAGTAAATATATCCAACAAAGGATCTGTATCCAGAATGTATAAACAAATCCTACAAATCAGTAAGAAAATGACAGATAATCCAATAGAAAAAAATGGTCTATTCAAGAGATTTGAATAGACACTTCTAAAAGAGGATATGCAAATGGCCAATAATATATGCAATGAAAAGGCCTCAGCCTCATGAGTGATCAGGAAAATGTTATATATCTCTAACAGAAATGAAAACGTATATCCAAATGAAAACTTGTATACAGGTTTATTATTCATAATTACCAAAAGGTGGAAATAACCCAAATGCTATCAACTGTGGAATGGATAAATAAAATGTGGTGTGTCCATTCAGTGGAATATTATTTGGCGATATAAAGAAATGAAATGCTGATATATGCTACAAATGGATGAACCTTGAAAACCTTTTGCTAAATAAAAGAAGCCAGACACAAAAGGCCACATGTTGTATGATTCCACTTATATGAAATGTCCAGAATAGACAAATCCAGAGAGATAGAAAGTAGATTTTCTAGAACTAGGGATTTTGGGGGAAATGGGAATTGACTGTTTAACAGTATGGGGTTTCTTTTTCGGGTGATGAAAATGTTCTAAAATTGTAGTAATGGTTGCTCAAGTGTGTGAATATACCTCAAACCACTGAAAATTATACTTTAAATGGGTGAATCGTATGATGTGTGAAATATATCTCAGTAAATCTGTTTTTAAAAAATGAGATAGTACTGCTTCACATTTACCAGAATGACTAACATTTTTTAAACTGGCAATAGCAAGTAACAGCAAGGATGTGGCATGATAATAACTCTCACATCCTGCCGATAGGAGTATAATTGGTACAACTATTTTGGAAACATGTTAACATTACTTCTGAAATTTGAGCACATGCATACCCTATGATCTAGTTCACTCCTAAGTTTATACCCAACAGAAGAGATAAATCTAGAAATGTTCTTGGCAGCATTATTCATAATAACCAAAAGCTGGAAACAACCCAAAAGTCTATCAATAGTAGAATGGATAGATTGTGATATAGTCATGCAGTATAACATAGCAATGGAAGGGAATGGACTACAGCTGCACACAAGATGACTCTCACAAACATCATTGAGCAAAAGTAGCCACATGCAATATATACTATATGACTTCATTTTTATAAAATTCAAAAAACAGGGAAAACTAAACTGTAGAGCTTAGGGATATGTGCTTAAGGAGGAAAGTTATAAAGAAAGCAAGAAAACAACGTAAAAGTCAAGATAGTGATTACTTTTGGGGGAAAGAGGGATTAGTAATTGGGAAGGGGAGGGAGGGGAGCTTCTGGGTTGTTGTCAGTGTTCTTTTTTTTCAATCTGGTGATGATTAGTGTGTTCCTTTGTGATGATTCATTGTGATGTACATTTTTTGTGTGTACTCTTCTATGTATTTCACGATAAAAAATGTTTAAGAAGTAATTAAATATTTAACACAGTACATGTCGGCACACATATCAGTATGTGTGCGGAATCTATTCAGCAGTTAGTAAATGCCTATTTTATGAAGATAGTACACTAAGGACTAATAATTCAATTTCTCTTTACTTTTGTAGGAATATGTTTATCCAGAAGCCAGAGACAGACAATACTTATTATTTTTCCATAAAGGAGCCAAAAAGTCACGTTTTGACCTAGAGAAATACAATCAACTCAAGGATGCAATTGCTCAGGTAAATTTTACAAAAATTAAAATAAATCCCAGCCCCATCTTATATGGTATTATTCTTATCCATAACCATAGTACTTCAAGTGGGTAAATTAAAAGAATGATCCAACCCCTTTCCTCCTGTATAAATTATTCCTCAGATGACCAAAATGACTATTTTAGCTATGGATACTTCTCTAGAAAGTTTTATAATATAAGCAAATGAGAAGATGGTGAGTCCTATCAATGCTATTAACACTAGCACATTGAAATTTTTAGACGTACTTTTACTTTGTTTTCATTTTACTTCTTTACAGTTATCTATTTTTACTTTTCTTTCTTCTTTTTAATCTTTCTACAACCATTGACCTAAAATTTTTCACCTAAATGTGTGGTAGCAGTGGGGCAAAAGTAAAATCCAGGTAAGAGAGAGGACTACTAGAAATCTTTGCTAGGTACAGTTCAGAGATTATTAAACTAGAAGATGCTTTTTAAAAGATGGATATGTTTTATTTTTTATAAAACCTACCTCTTTCAAATTTCTGGATGTGCCCCCTCACTGTAATATCTTTGATTTTGGTGAATAAATCCTCATTCCTTTTACCTGTAGTCTTTTGTGACTTTAGAGATTTTTTTTTAACATTTTCTAGAAGCTCTTCCATTCTTTTTAATATTTAGTTGGTCTTCTCTGGACCATTTCTGCCTTTTCTGTCTCTTCCTGGTGATGGGGTTGTACTTTCAATAGGCTTAGTCCACCTTCCTGTCTTAGCCTAAGTGGACTGTGTCTTTTGTTGCTATGTGTGGTGGTTTTCAGTTGGAGGGAATGTATCAGAATCATCTCTGGAGCTATTAAAAATACAGATACTTTAGTCTTACCCTAGACTTGCTTTTCTTTTGTTTTTTGTTTTTAAGAGACAAGGTCCTGCTCTGTTGCCCAGGCTATAGTAGTGCAATGGCATAATCATAGCCTACTGCAGCCAGCCTCAAACTCCTAGGCTCAAGCAGTCCTCCTGCCTCAGCCCCTCAAGTAGTTGAGACTACAGGCATGCACCACCACACCTGGCTAATTTTTCTATTTTTTTGTAGAGATGGGGTCTTGCTATGCTGCCCGGGCTGGTCTGGAACTTCTAGCCTCAAACAACCCTCCCACCTCAGCCTCCCAAAGTGCTGGAATTAGATCCTCTGGCTCATAGTAATGGAGGAAAGACAGTTTCTTTTTCACAGTACCCAGTAATATCGAAAGCCTCGCTAGCCAGTTTTTCTCACCTTTTATTTCTATTTTAGGCAGAAATGGACCTTAAGAGACTGAGAGATCCATTACAAGTACATCTGCCTCTCCGACAAATTGGTGAAAAGGATTGATCTGCAAAGAGCCTCTGAATCCTGGCAAAAAGAACACCTGTTTGCCTTTTTAATTAAAGCATTACAGGTGGAAGCTGGGAGCCATGTGGGGGTAGAGGGTTTTTACCTTTAATTCTAAAACAAAAACAAAAAGGATCTTGGGGAAGAAAGGAATGTTAAAATCTAAGGATCAGGCATTGTGGAATATAAGCTCAAAGGGCTTAGTGAATATTGTCTTAATCAAGCATCTCACAGTTTCTGGGTGAAATGATGCAATTATATAGTTGAGAGATTCATAAAGAAAAAATGATGCTGGGGGTGTTTGTTTCTTGCATCTTCTTTGCAGGGTCAGCAAAACAGTAACACACCAGCACCCTACTCAGCTCTAATTTTTTTTATTTATCCTTTCTTATTTTTGACATAGGAGTAAATAAATATACCAGAAAAGCAAATCCTCATGATATGTGGGTGGCAAACAGTCTGAACCCGTATCATTAGCATTTATTTTAAATTGGACCCAGTCTCTGCAAAGTCACCAAGAATCTCTCCCTCCTGTAGCCCTTTACTGACTACCTACCTATACCTGCTACACTAATTTTAATTGGAACTAACTTATGACTGTTTAATAATTGACACTTTGTATTATCCCTTAATACCTTCTTAAATGTCTATATATCCCAGTGCTCTGAATCAGTATCTAGAAATCATTGACAACACTGCATGAGGTTTTATTGTTTTGTTTTGTTTTGACTAAGTAGTCTTTCAGAGGAGGAAACATTCCCCTCCTTTATATACCTATCCCATTGATAATCCCCTCTCCTTCCACAACTCAAGTCAGAGGGGGAGTGTTCAGCTGTATTACCAAATCAGGAAGATGTGAAGTTTACAAATTGGCTAAAAATCACAGCTGTGTAGCCATTTCAGAACCAGAATAATTTTATTATTGTTAATCTGCGTGTGTGACAGCATCCAGGCCAGCCAGATGGCACTGCCTTGTCTGGAGGCTTTGTTCATCTCGAAGGACACACACTTCCACACTGTTTGTGAGCCCTCCCACCTCCACAACTTCAGTGTTGTAGATCAAGTGTGTGGATCTCCAAGGGTGCAATTTATCTTTATACAGGAACACATTTCTATGGCTTCCTTCCGCTTACCTTCTTCACCCTATTTTTTCTTATCTTAAATTGAGAGAAAGAAGAATTAATCTTATATTCTATCAAAATGTTTTCTACCATATTTCCAGATGACATCTACACTTGAAGAGTCAAAGGAATCTGTGTCTAATATCCTGTTTTTAACTACTGTGGGGTAGAATGGAAAGGAAAGGATGATGGGGTTTGCCACACCACTGATCAGCTTTTTTCTTTCACATGATTGATTCATCCATCCTCATTGTGGCAAGGGGTTTCTTTCTCTTTTTCTTCCTCCTTTGGGATCATTGTGTATCGAAAGAAAAACTTTAAATGAAAAACCCAGACTCCAGGTGCCTTGCAGAGGTTGAAGTCCAGCCAGGATCGCTGCTGCTGCTCCTGCCACCACCCTTTTCACTGGCATGACGGAATGAAAGGATGCATGTCTCCACTTCCCAGCCCTCCGCCCACTTCCTTCCCCCACCCACCCCCAGTCAGTCAGCCCCTTCCCTCATTTATTTTTGTTAAGTTGTGTGAATTATTTTTAAACCATTTATCCTGTTTGTGCACAGGGTTTTTAAGAAGAAACAGCACAGTGCAATGAGCAAATCCTCTCGGGGTGTGTGGGAGGCAAGGGAGGGAGGATATAGAGAAAAATCCTTTAAACTAATAGCAAAATATTGAACATGTGTAAAATCCTGTATCATTTATGAAATATGTATAAAAAGCAATGTACCTTCTGGAACAATAAATACTTATTCAATTTTTGAACTATAGCATTCTTCATTTTTTAAAACAATACCAAAAAACCCCCACTTATTTTCCTGTGTTCTAGATAGAAAGCTTTTTACTTCTAAAATTATTTTTTATAAAAATATCACTATTAAAAAAAATATCACCATCAAATTAAGCTTTGTTCCTAGAGCCTATAGTTCAAAAATAGGCATTTCACTAATTCTTTCTGAACCTAAAATGGTCAGTATTTTCCTAATTTTTCAGAGCCACCAAGAGAAATCAATAGCAGCACTGAAATTGATTCCTTATCTCCTGATTGACAGGAAAAATCTCCATTATATCAGACCACCTTGATTGCCCAGTGTGGGCTCCTGGACTGAAGAAAATTGTTCGAGGATGAACCAAGATTAAATATACATTATTTTTAGAGGTTGTATCGAATTTACAGTGATCGCCAAACAGGAAGAACATTACATGCTGCCAGGTTGCCTAAGGCATGATAAAAACATATATTAAATGTCCGGTTGCTTTTATGCAGTATAAGGTGATTTTCAAAGAGCCCCCATAGCTGTGGTCCTGCCTTCTAGCAGCTTACAGCAGCCTAACACAGACAACCCTGAGACATATGTAAGGTGTAAGAAGATAAGATTGAAAATGTTAACCCATTGTTTGCATTCAACAAATAATATCTACATTTTCCACACATTTTGTTAAGCTTTGCAGAGTATTTTTTAAAGGAAAATAAAAACATACTATTTCTGTGTTTAAGGAGTTTACAATTTAAAGTTTATGTTAAAGCATAGTGAACTCAACAAAAAACAACCTGATTAAAAAATGGGCACTGGACTTGAATAAACATTTCTCCAAAGAAGATATATAAATGGCCAATAAACACATGAAGCATCACTACTCATTAGGGAAATGCAAATCCAAACTACCATGAAATGCCACTTCATACCCATTAGGATGGCCGTTATCAACAAAGCAGAAAATAAAAGAAGTCTTGGTGAGGACATGGAGAACCTGGAACCCTTTACACCGCTGGTGGGAATGTATCAGTAAGACGATGCACCTCCTGTGAAAACAGTATGGCAGTTCCTGATCCAGCAGTTTCACTTCTGGTGTCCAAACGAATTGAAAGGGACTCAAACAGATAGCTGTACACCCACGTTCATAGCAGCATTATTCACCACAGCCAAAACGTGTCCATTAACAGATGAGTGGATAAACAAAATGTGAGTATGTATAAATAATGGAATACTATTTCGCCATAAAAGAATGAAATTCTGTCACATGCTGTAACATGGATGAACCTTGAAGATGCGCTAAGTGAAGTAAGCCGGTCACAAAGGGGTAATTACTGTATGATTCCACTTACATGAACTATCTAGAGTAGTCAAATTCGTAGAAATACAAAGTAGAATGATGGTTGCCAGGGACTAGGGGGAAGGAAGAATGGGGGGTTACTGTTTAATGGGTACAGAGTTTCAGTTTGGGAAGATGAAAAAGTTCTGGAGATGGGTGGTGGTGATGGTTGCCCAACAATGTGAATGTACTTAGTGCAACTAAACTGTACACTTAAAAGTGGTTAAAATGATAGACTTTACCACAATAGAAAAAAAGGCATAGTGAATTTTCATTAGAGATAGATAAGGGATAGTGTTTAATCTATTACAGAGTGTAGGTAAAGCAGTTCTGCTGAGGGAGCATAGACTTGTAGAGCTAGAAAAAGTAAAAGGGTGCTCAGAGTATGATCCCCGGAGTGGGAGCGTGTCACCTCCTGGGAATTGTTAGAAATGCAAGTTCTCTGGTCTTTATTGAATCAGATACTAGGAGTGGAGCCAGCAATCTGTGTTTAACAAGCTCTCGTGATAATTCTGATGAAAACTCTTGATCTAGTCAAACCATTGCTTTAAAGAGAAGGAAACTGAGGCACAGAGAGGGCATCTATGTCACAACTCATCAGGGAATCCTGTGATCAAATACCAGACTGAGTGACTGGAGGATTGGCCAATATGGCAAATAGAAAAGCTACAACCAGAGATCATGTTGCATGCTAATGTATCCTGCTTGTCAGGGTGTCGTAAGCACATAGTAGATGCTTCCAAAAACAAATATAAATAAGTTGAATTTTTTTAACCTATCTGGAAAGATTTCATAGAAAAAAATGGAAGAAAACTCAGTTTCACCAAAACTGTTAAGAGTTCTAATTGTTCTAATTCGTTTTCATCACTGCTGACAACCTTTAGTTTGTTGCTCTCCCATTAAGTCCAAATTTGTCTTCCATGATGCATGTTGCAGTTATTTCCTTAGGATAAATGTATAGGTTAAATTTTAATGAATCTTACTGAACATAAAATTACCCACTTTATAAATTTTTATTATGTTGTATAAATACATCATGCTGAGCAACCCCTCCTCCTCAAATCTGTCCTTAGCTCCTCTGACTCCACTCCTGGGTTTCCTTTCATAAATTTCTGACTACTTTTTGGTCTCTTTTACAGTGTCCTCTTCCTCTGCCCACATCTTCGATGTTAGGCTTCCCCAAGGTTCCATATTGAACCCCATTTTCCATGGGTGTGTTCTCACCCACTCCCCATTTCAGTTACCATTTATATGTTAGTAGCTCTCAAATTGTTACTCTAACTCAGATCTCTCCTAAACAGCAGACTGATTTATCCACCTCCTAACTGATCTATTTCTAGCATTGCCTTCTGTACATTAAATTCTTTCAGTGTCACTAGAGTATTTTTGTTTTTAAATTCTAATAGCACATACTTTAGAAAAATTAGAAAATATGAACAAATGTTAACGCTAAATATGGAGAAGGGAGGCTAAAAGACACCACAAAGAAGCAGTTAGCCAAATCCAAAGTGTGGGGCCTTCTATAGGACAAATGATTGGGTTTCTTCAACAAATGAGAGCGGGGAGGGAAGATTGTTATAGATTAAAAGAAATTTAAATGACACAACCAAATATGTAAATCTTGTTTGAATCCTGACTCAAGCCAGCAATAAAAAATATTTGAAACTATTGGGGAAATTTAAATGTGGACTAGGTGTTAGATATTAAGAAATTATTACTAATTTTCATAGTTATAGTGGCATCAGGATTATGTAAAAAAAAACCCATATGTTAAATGTACACTGGTATATAAATGAAATGAGATTGACGAAAAGTAATTATTGCAGCTGGATGTTCATTATTCTTTCTGCTTTTGTATATATTTGAAATTTGCATCATAAAATGTCAAAAGTGAAAGGGCAGGCCAACTAAAAGGGAAAAAATAGAAATAAGGGGGAAAAAGTCCTACCATCCTGGGAATTCTTGTTTACAGGACCAAAGGGCTATCTGGTAAAAGTCCTTGACTCCAGCAATCAATCCTGGCAGCAAATCTGGGTTTATCTCATGCACACGTCCTCTGTTTCTCTGCAACACATACGAAGCACTCAGATGGCTTCCCAGGGACAGGAAATTGTGGGGTTTTGTTTTTTCAGTTAAAAGCACTGACACTAAGCAGCACTACCCTATAATGAGACAGTCCCAGAGTCACTCATTGCTGCCATCAAACCACAACTTAATAAGCTAAGGATCAAATTGCCTGTGTTACACTAATGTTAGTAATAAAGTAGCTAACTGCAATTTTAGATCAATGGAAACCCCTCGCTAGACTGTAAACTCAGTGTTTCTGGGGACCATTTTTACCATATTCACTGTCAAACCAGTGATTAGCATGCCACTGGGCCCCCAGTAAGCACTGTTTCATTGCATTGACACCCTTAGAGGAAAGGGCCTGGGATAATTTGAACGCCTCTGAGTTTTGTAAAAAAGTTGTGCTAAGAAGCTGGGTGGACGCAGTGGTGCACACCTGTAGCACCAGCTACTCGGGAGGCTGAGGCAAGAGGACCACTTGAGCCCAAGAATTCAAGGCTGTAGTGTGCTATGATAGTGCCTGTGAATAGCCACTGCACTCCAGCTTGAGCAACATAGCAAGACCCTGTCTCTGGGGGAAAAAAAATGTGCTAAGAGATCAGGAAAACAAGTTTAAGGACTACTTCCCAAAGGTAATATTCCTATCCTAAACACTAGAAATTTGGTTATTAGGAAAAGTAACACAGATGAGAACAAGTACAGGAATAACAGAAGCCCAAAGCATCAGGTCTAGGTAAGATTGGGAGAGAAAATTTTGAGTTTGCCTCAGATTCTTGTTTAATATAGTATTTTTAAAAAACTTCTTCCTATCCTTCCCCTTCTCATTATCTTGCTAATTCTTGCTTCACATCATGCTTGCTAATTCTCAGGTGTCCACCACTCTGTAGAATGTCAGGGAGCTAGCAAATTCGAAACCTGTAATTACTAAGGCTATGTCTGGTACCATGCCATATACAGGTCCCACATTTTCCTTCTTTTATCTAAAATTGAAACTTTAGTAAATTTTGACATTTAACTTTCCAGAGTGGTATTAATTTTAAGCTCCTACCCTTTCTTAATGTCAGAATTAGTGAAATAAATAACAATAAACCATTTTAAATTTGCGGGAAGAAAGACCCTATGAAAACATAAGGTACTACTACTTGAATTGGTAAAGACACACTTAAACCTTGTTTCTTTAGGAAGTTTTGAGACCAAAGATCATAATAAAACAGACTTAGGAAGTTGCTTCAAGAGAATACTGTTCCCATTCCATACCTGCCTTTACTATTTTTAATACATCATTGTAAACTCCTTGCCCATCTGACCAAGATATTTCTTAATGACCAGGTCCAGCAATTTGGCTTTATCTCCTTCTCACTGTGCAATGCTATGGCTGCAACATCATACAATCAACTCCTAGAAGTCACAAAACAAGATTTTGACGTGAGGGGATGTCCCTCATTTAGAGTTCCCTTCTGGATAAGATACTGGAGGTTTCATTGCAGGGAATTCTTGAGAGAAAACAATAGGAGGATGAGGAATTGTGAGGTTTTTTTCTAAAGAAAAATATCAATAAAATAACCGTGTTGACAGCATAAAGCAGTGCTTCTATCTGGGGTCAAGGCCAGAGCAATGGACACTTTATCCTACTCACCCTCTTCCTCTGATAAAGCCCCACCAGTGCTGATAAAGTCTTTCTTCATAAGAGCCTAGAGGCCTTTTTAAAAAGTGCTTGAAAAAGAAGAGGACAAAGGCACACTGGTATTAAGAGGATTTTCCAGTCTGTTTCTGGTAATTGGTCCTGGAAGATGCCTCAGTTCCTGCTTATCTGCCTCTTCATCCTGGTCCCCTCGGTGTCATCAACAGGTGAGCCTCGTGTCAAGAACTTGACACAGTGCACTTTTTGTTGTTGCAATTTGCTATTGTGTACAGATTATTAAGAATTAGATTCCAGTACCTTAAATGCTGGTTCTAGGATCATGTAAGAAAAGTCACTGATAATGTTTGAAAATATATTTTCAGAAAATTTCTGTTATGTGTTCCATTTAGCCTCTTGCCTGGCATCCAAAATTTCCATGGATCTGCCACATCCAACAGCTTTCCCCTAGCTAAATATTTCTTAGAGTATGTGTAAGGAATTCTAGCCTCTTTATATTCTAGGCACTTTTATAGTTCCAACTTTAAAAGTGAAAAAAAAATGATTTTTTTAAAGTTGGGGGTATAGTTTTACTTTAATGAATGCAAGGGACTGAAAGCTCTGTCCCCATGAAGCACACAGATCTGGATAAACCAAGCTTGTTTGTCTTGACATCTGAAAATATGACTTTTTGCACAGATTGAGTGAATCTTAAACTGCCCCTCCTCAGGCTTGGCGCAAAACTGGCCAACCAGGCAGAGAAAAGTTGCAATTCCGGTTACTAACAGATTTATTTCTCTCTCACTTCTTTTTCCAGTAGAATATGAATTCTAACTGGAAGGGGAGAGGGTGAGCTGAAAAGAACCATCCTTCTTGGCACCTTTAAGTAGCTCAGTATTTAATTGATACTGATTTATTTCTTCATGGTAATTTGGACCTCGCTCGAGATAAACATGTTTAAAGATAAAATGTTTAAAGATAAACATTAAAAATAGACTTGAGACTCTAGACGTGAAAGCTAAATGTATCGCAGTGTCCTGGGTGGGATCCTGGAACAGAGAAAGATACAGGTAATAACTAAGGAAATCTGGATAACTGTGGACTTGAGTTAATAGTAATGTATCAACAGCGGTTCATCAATCATGGCAAAGGTACCGTGCTCATGTATGATGCGTCATAATAGGGGGAACCGGGTGTGGGGTATGTGGGAACTCTTTGTGCTATCTTCTCAATTATGCTGTAAATCCAAAACTGTTCCCCCAAAATAGACTTGAGCTTCCTGTCCTTAACCACCCTGTATCTGCTGCCAATAACAAGCCTAGAGTCCCTGAGGGAAAAGTGTCCTGGGACATCCCCCACTCCCATTCTTCCCACTCTCTTTCCTGGCTTACTCTCCCTCTAGTACCTTCTGTATCCTCCCATTCCTATGTGCCTTCACCCTTCCCAGCCTTTTTGTTTCCCCTCGTACTGCTAGGATGTTTGGCTCAATGACAGAAGCAAGATAAGGGGGAACTTTTGGGGTTGGGGTGGGCCTTGCCCTGGGAGGAGAGGCGAAGTGAGAGAAGAGGGAGAAGGAGGAGAAGGGAGAGGAGACAGGAAACAGGGAAGCAGAGGGGGATGGGGAGGGAGGGAAGGAGCAGCTTCCCAACCAGAACCAGGCACTGGGGTGCGGGGTCGGGGTCGGGGGAGGTCATCCCCCAGGGAGTGCCAGTGTGGACCTGGAGGGCTGGGGGACCTGGAGGGTTGCAGGACGAAAGGGTGGGGACACAGACATCTCCTCCCTGCCCTCAGTGGGGTCCTGGTGAAGGGAGGTGGGAGTGGGCGGCTGACAGGTGGGATCCGGGTAAATCGCTGAACAGCTTCAGTCAGGCAGGAAGGAACCTGCAGCAGCGCTGCTCTTTGTCAAATGCTCCCATTGAGAAGTACCCACCAGCAATCCGGGATGAATATGCACGATACCAAATTCCAGGCTCCAATGAGAGGCTGGAAATCGGATTTAAAAACAGTGACCAGATTATTAATGGATGGAATGGCTGCCTTTAAAGGGGGTGGTGTGTGATGGGTACATTTAGTGTCAGAAAATACTGAATGATTAACTTTTAAAAAAATGTATTATTTACAGAGATGGTGGATAAATTTCTCCTCTTCATGCCCTAGCTCCCCTACAGCAGCAGAGGAAGTGAACTATTAGCAAATAGCACAAGAAATGACAGTTAACTTTAGGGGAAAACTTTATAAATCCTGAAATAGTTATTGAGGGAGGGTTAGGAATCTCTGTAGAAGCCATTAAAAGTTGAGTACCTAACCATTTCTTATAAAATTAGAGCCAGGGAGATGAACCAAATATTTCTAAGAATGTATAATCACTTGTAAAATTCTTCTGGAAACGTTGCTTGGTAAGAGAGCCACAGCTGGGAGAGCAGAGGAGGGAATTTTTCCCTTTTGAGAGAGGAGAGTCTGAGGACATTTCCTCCCCTCAAGAGACTATGGGCCAGGGCTCCTGAGACACATGAAGGACATTTGAAAGAAGTTAGAGGGTTGCTCCTGCCTTTCACAACCCTGCTAAGGTGTTATTTCCAGAAATTGCAATATCCCACTTATTTCTTTCTCAAATTGTCATATTCTCTTTGGGACCATTAGCACTAGACTACACCTTCCTCTACATGTGACTGAGGTTTAGAGAGTAAACTTTGACTTTGAAATGTAGATTGGGGAAATCCAAAATATTTTTGACACTTTAGATTTGGTGATCATGGCCCATTGACATTTAATTATTGTGCAGTGTTTGCTAATACAGAATTCCCTGCCCACAAAGTGTGTTGGCCCTAATGCGAATTCCCTGCCTACAGTGTCAATTGAGTAAGTCAGCCTCGTGTCATTAAGGACAGCAGTCTCTGGCCAGTACTCCTTTCTGGAATTTCTTGGTTTCCTAGATTCTTCATAAGGACAATTTACCTACATTAATTCATAAATTAGTTTCCCTGAAGTTGAGGGAAGCAATGAGAATATTGGAGATAGTAATGTCTTCAGTCATTAAAATGTTTTTGATGAGATATTTGTGCTTGCAATTCATGTGCTAAAAATGCATGCTTGAGAAATTTTGCTGTATGATAGCTAGGATAGTGATGTCAGCTAATTGTGAATACACAAAGTTCTTGATATTTTCAATATTTGGTGGAATATATACCAAAATTCACTTTGAATAGCTCTGGAATTACATGCCAGTGTACTGTGTGTTTCAAAGTGGGTGGCATGTGCCTGAGGCATTTTCAGTGCTTTACACATCCTTGATTAAGTCAAACTTCCCACTGATGCAAAATTCCACCTATAATCGTCTTTACAAATGGCCATACAAATACTTCGTTGAAAATTTCCAAAGATTGAGAGCTATCCCATGACTGGATAGCTGAACTGATGTGTGTTTTCCTGTAACAATTTATTCTTGTTGTCACAAAATAGCTAATCCCTCTTCCACGAATCTATTCCAGATTTATAAAAATCGATATGAGTTTTCTTCAGTCTTTTTTCCAAATGATAGTTCTCAGCTTCTTCTCCAGTAAATAATTTTTAGGCCCCCTTCTGAATCTGGTCAACTTTCTCTGGACAAGTTTGTCAACTACTTTCATAAAATACAGCTTCCAGGTGTGAGCATGATACTCAAAATACGGTCTGGCCAGTGCAGAGTTCAGTGAGGCTATAATCCAAACCTCCTTAGATCTGAACCACTATCCTTCAATTAAATGATGACTCTGGATAAAAAGTTTAGTCCAATGTGAACACTAAACCTTAAATAGGTTTGAAATAATTTTGTAAAGAGCATTTATGAAACATGTTTAAATCGACTTGACGAACCTTAAACAGCTACGTTTTTGGACCTTAGATAATTTCTTTCTTGAACTCAAGCCAAAATGCAAGACCAAGAAGGTGGACTCAGGCTGTCGGTACTGTGGTCTGAAACAGTAGTAGGTGCTTCTGAGGTGTCATTTTCATTCCTAGCCCTAGATCCTTGTTCTGCTTACATCAGTCTGAATGAGCCCTGGAGGAACACTGACCACCAATTTGATGAGTCCCAAGGTCCTCCTCTGTGTGACAACCACGTGGATGGGGAGTGGTACCGCTTCACAGGCATGGCGGGAGATGCCATGCCCACCTTCTGCATACCGGAAAACCACTGTGGAACCCATGCACCTGTCTGGCTCAATGGCAGCCACCCGCTCGAAGGTGACGGCATTGTGCAACGCCAGGCCTGTGCCAGCTTCAATGGGAACTGCTGCCTCTGGAACACCACGGTGGAGATCAAGGCTTGCCCTGGAGGCTACTATGTGTATCGTCTGACCAAGCCCAGCGTCTGCTTCCATGTCTACTGTGGCCGTGAGTACCTTCCCTGTGCTTTTTCCTCCCCAGTAAGGCCACAGGTGGGCTCAGAGAGAAAAGTCCCATAGGAAATTCAGTTATGTGACAGTAGTATCTCAGAGTCCGAGCATTGATTTGGGGACAAAGATATCTCCAGATTGTGATTTCTGAGATCTGTTCTTAGAATTTCTGAAAAATTGCTGAAGAAATAGAAAGGGAAAGGACCAATGATTTTGATCAGCTCTATTATTTTGTCTTCATTCCATTCGAACAAAACATTAGAAAATGAAATATTGGTTTAGGTTATCTAAATAGTGGATTTCCAACCTTTTTGAGTACAGAGGACCCCTTTTAAAGATATCTATGTTTATAAATAGGTAGAGAGATAGATAAATCAGACATCCGTACAGTAGCATTTTGCTTAGAATCCATTGATTTTTTTTTTTTTTTTT